ACTCAAAACTAAGGCCCTAAGCAGTGGAGGACATGGAGCCTTTAAAGGATTTAGGGTTTCTTCTCCAGTCCTACCACTGTGTTGGGAGTAGTAGTGCTTTTCATCGTTATATATTTAGTTTCTGTTGGTTCTACTTTCAGAGGAATAGGTATCAAACCTCCAGGACTGAAGCCTCTGCCTCTGCTTGGCAACTTGCTGCAAATGGATCTCCAAAGACCCTACAAAACCCTGTGACATGTGGGCATACTTTAAACTCAATCAGTGTGAATCCTGCTTGTAAAATATACATTTTCATCTGTTTGATCCAATTTCCCTTTGTCTTCATCCGCCCAGCTTTCCAAAAAATATGGGTGTGTATTTACAGTTTATTTTGGACCAAAGAAAGTGGTCGTCCTGGCTGGGCACAAGATGGTCAAAGAGGCTCTGGTTAACTATGCTGATGAGTTTGGAGACAGAGAAATCACACCTATATTTGATGATAGAACCAAAGGTCATGGTAAGATCAGAAATATAAGAAAAACATAGTTGATAACTCTAAAACCTTTCCACATTTCCCCCCCTTTTGGCCACTACTCTGACACACAAACAGGCAAACAGACTTCTCATTTCCTTTCAAAGACTGATCTGATGCAACCTTCAGTTTATTTAAATACAACACACAGATTTTTCCTAGTATGTTTTAAAGAGTTTCTCTTCATCTTTTTCTTAGGATGTTGTATTTTTTTTTTCTGAAGGTGTTTTATGTCATCATGTTGGTATGTAATTCTTTGACCTACGTGCAGAACCAGTGAATTTTAACGTTTTATTTATAAAAGCAAACCAGAATTTTGAAACTGGGACTGTAGGAAGTCAGGTGTAACTTTCTACTTGGTCTGACGGGAGAAAGCAGACTGATCAGGAATGAATTGGTTGATGACAAATTATGACTGATTGATTTGGCTTACTGGAGGGATGAAGGACAGTAATAAGCAAAGATGAGTAAGTGTTTGAATTTAGCAGAATTTGTAGATTGTGCCCCAGAGGTCCAGGTGAGTGTGAGTGAGATCCAAGATGTTCCAAAAGGTGAAAGCTTTTCTATGACGATCAGAGACAAACCAAGGTTAACTGGAAGTCTGGAACAATAACAGAGTCCAAGTTAAAGAGATTCACCAGAAGACAGATTAAACTAGAAAGATATTAGTTTAGTCAGGCATCCCCAACCTCGGTCCTCAAGGCCCCCTGTCCTGCAGGTTTTAGAGGTTTCTCTGCTTCAGCACAGCTGGTTATAATGATTGCAGTAGACCAAACGCCTGTTAATCAGCTTTCAATTAAAATCAGCTGTGCTGGAGCAAGGAAACCTCTAAAACCTGCAGGACAGGGGTCCATGAGGACCGAGTTTGGGATCCCTGGTTAGGTCATCTTGATTGAGAAATGTTCTCAGGTGTGCAGCAACATGGGTGAGCCCAGCCACTAACAAAGATTCTCTCTGTGACAGGAACCTCACTCACACCAGAAAAACATTAAAACCCCAGAGACCCAAAAAATTGGATTCCTAGCCAGATGTCTTAGTACATTTTAGCTTATGGTTCCCTAATGACAAAATATGTATTATTCTTGATTCAACCACATACTTCATTTTTTTTTTGATTATATGGGATAGAACAACACACAAAAATACATGAACAAGAAAAATCACTCAAAACATCAAATACAGACTGAAATGTTGCTTTTAATGGTCAGAATGTTTAAAACCTGTACGAACTCTTTAACATGTCACTGTACCGATTAAACCTGTATTTAATTTAACTCATATGGTCAACAATTTTGTAAAAGCATTTCTGTTTGATTTCTATGCGCTGCATAAGGAATTCTGTTTTCAAATGGGGAAACATGGAAAGAGATGCGTCAGTTTGCCCTCATCACCCTCAGAGAGTTTGGGATGGGCAAGAGAGTTGCTGAGGAGAAAATCTTAGAGGAGTGTGGACATCTTATTCAAATGTTTGAGAATTACAAAGGTATGAGAAATGCTTCTTTTCTTTAAGATAGTGCTTTTTTGACAGTTAAAAAGAAAAAGAAACCCTTTGTTTCCCCACAGGGAAACCGTTGAACACATCACGCCCAATAAATTATGCTAGATCCAACATCAGCTCCTCCATCGTGTATGGAAGCAGATTTGAATATGATGACCCTTCGATTAAGAGAGCTGGTTAGTCAAGCAAAGAAATCTATAAAAATATCTGGCTCGGCTGAAATCCAGGTAAGCTTAATATTTTACAGGGTCTGCTTTGTAAATAAGAAGCCAAATGTAGGGACTTTAGCAGGTCGTGTTGACCAATCTTATTCTGTGAAAGGTTAAAACTGATAAGTTACTGTTTAAAATTTCAAAGACAGATACCAACACACATATTTGAAATTGATAGATGCTTCAAATTTAAAAGAAAACTGAATTTAAAAATCTTTTCCAATCAGATCATTTTTGCAAATTTTTACATTGCAATAACAACTAATTAAGTACTTTAATCAGACTCTATCTATATAAAATAGCTGAACACAGTGTAGTGCATGCTTTAATTGTAAATAAAAAAAATATATACATATGTGGCTCATGCTCAATCCTTATCTTTATCTCAATTAAAACAAGAAGCAAGTTTTTGGATTGATGTGGATTGCTGAAATACAAAATTGGTTTTATTGTATAAATCAGCTATCAACACTATATAAATTCTACTATAATGCTATATAAACAGAAATGATCACATTTTGTGCAACAGGTAAAGTATATAACCATGGGAAACATTATTGCATTTGTTCCAATTGCATCTTCCCCCTTTTTCCTTTAATTTAAACTACTGGACGTTTAGAACCAGATTCATGAGAAGTTGCATAACAGAAGGAAGGTAGGGTTACATCAGATGCTCGTGGGAAGGTTAGGCTTAAAGTACAAAACAGAAAGGTGGTGAGATGGTGTCAAAAAGGGGAGAGGCTGCCTAATCCTGACTGGCACCATACATTGTTCCCTCTGCAACACACTAATCCACACTTATACAATAATGATAAATAATATATATTTTTCCAAATAAAATCAATTAAATTTGCAATATTTTTTGTAGAATAGAAGTTTCCAAACAACTGTGATGTATATTGTCTGCAGCAGTGTGCAACAACAACAATATCAACCTGTGCAGCTTATTGGTTTAGAAAGGATTGTAGGTGCTTGTTTCAAGGGTTTAAAGTGAAGCAGTAATACACTTACTGATTTTAACATTTTTATTTAGGCTCATCTTAAGAAAACAAAAGTAAGATGCTCTGTAGCATGAATATACAGTAAAAACCCAACAATTTAGGGATAATAGTGATAGAAAATCAGTTTCTATAATCACCTCTATATATTTTCTGTTCTTTTACCTAATAGTCTAGTAACAGAATGAATCCAATATGTAAGCCAGATTAAATTGACTATATCCTTAAAGTAAAATTTGTCTGAGTTATGCACTTTCTAGAAATATTTGGAGAAATATCAAAGGTAAAATTTCTAGGATGTATTATTGGGAAATGTAGTGTCAATGGTTTTCCCTAATATCATATGTTGCAAAGAGGAATGGATTAGAATACAATAGAATAGAACTCAACTCAGTGCAATACAATATAATATATTCATCATCTATTTATCCATTTGTCTACTCACAGCACAGATACACACAAAATTAAACAAATACACAGTTTATATTTTACATTGAATATTTACATTGTAAAAAAATGTCTACCATAAAATGGAAGCATATTAAAAGGATAGCAGTAATACGGACATTTTATTTGGTTTGTTGAGAACATGTTTATGCAGATTATTCCTTTAGAAATATGTGGATTAGTTAAACCTACTCAAACCAACAAAAAACTAATAAAAGAGCAATCCAGGCATTTGATGCATTTACATTTCATGCTTTCCAACGTCAATCACACATTATTGTCTTAATTTTTACTTTTAGAACTTGTTATGGCTGGTTAGCATATATATCCCTTATTTATGCAAGTGATCTTTCTGAACAAGCTACAAGCAAAAATAATAACATTTTTTTTGCACTACTAATATTAGGAAATGAGACCTGCAGAAATAGTGTGTCATATTTTAAAATTGGGAAACTCTATTAATGTAACTGTGTATTGTACCATAGATCGGAATGTTTTAATTATCCCTATCGTTTTAAGCTTGGTAATGCTCTCCAGAACAAACATAGAAAATTATAAATTCTGTTTTTAAAGCTCTGTGCAAGCAGAGAAGGTTAAAGTAACACAATTTAGTAAAACTGATTTCTCCAAATAATTTTCCTGTGGAAAAAAAAAAAAAAAATCCGGCAGTTGACTAAGACAACTAAAGAAAATGATTAACAAAAGTAACGTCGGGTTTGAGAGGCTGATCTATAGATTAAGCAACACTCGCATGACCTCTTTACAGCAGCAAAAATTCCTTAGCGTCTTTAAAATGCAAAACATGACTGGAGCTTACCTAATAGCTTTTAGAGTTGATATTTAAAAAGACAAGTTTCAACACCATCTGCATCTTTAACACCCTTTGTAAAGAACACAACAACAAGGGCTGTAATTATACACAACCTGAGACAGGTGTATAAAAATCTTTGAAAATTCAGAAAATTCATTCATTAAACTTGTTGTTATAATAGCAAAGGTGTGGAGCTCACTTATTTACTTGTATTAAACCATTTAACAGAAGCGCACATACAAAAGACAAAAAAACCCCCAACATTTTTAAACCTTTAGCGATACAAGAGGATGCATAGAGGAAATTAGAAAAAAACAAACTGAAGGAAACAAAATAGGGTGAAATTGATTGTTTATATTATGATGAAAGGTTCAAGAATCAATGCAAACAGCAAAACTCAAAAATGTGAGCTCACTCAGCCACCCAAAGCAAAATGGTGCACAAAGGTTAAGTAGGTGGAGCCACTATAGAGCCGACCTATAGATGAAGTAACATCCCCATGAGCTTTTCACAGGGAAAAAAACCCTCTGCATATCCTGTCTGTAGGTTTAAACAAGAAGGCAGTGGACTGAATGGAGGCTTTAAAGATTTTAGGTCCCTCTCTTTTCTCCAGTCCTACCACTGTGGTGGGAGTAGTTGTTCTTTTGATTATAATTTATTTTATTTCTGTTGGTGCCTCTTCCAGAGAGACAGGCAAAGAACCTCCCGGACCGAGGCCTCTGCCTCTCCTTGGAAACTTGCTGCAACTTGATCTCCAGAGACCCTACAAAACATTGTGTCAGGTGGGTGCTTTGTTCTGGCTCAAGCTGATGTGTAATATTCATGCAACCTGTTTCATTTCTGTTTGGTGTCATTGCTTTTATTTTACAGCTTTCCAGGGAATATGGGTCTGTATTTACAGTTTATTTTGGACCCAAGAAAGTGGTTGTCCTGGCTGGGTACAAGACAGTCAAAGAGGCTCTGGTCAACTATGCAGATGAGTTTGGAGACAGAGAAATCTCACCTATATTTGATGATCTGAACAAAGGTCATGGTAAGATCAGAAATAAAGACGTACAGTGCTTTTTTTTAATATAAAATTAGTAAACAATTCTTTTCTTTCAATATGATCACAAACTTCAATGTATTTAGTTGTAATTTTATGTGATGGATCAGTACAAAGTGATGGAAGTGGAAGGGAAATGATATGTATAGTTCTAAAAAATTCTTAATAGAGGAACATTGGTAAATGGGAGTATGAATTTGTAACATTACACATATACAGTAGAAACTTAAAATACATTTCTGCCTTGCAATTGTACAAAGACAAAATGGCTCATGCTCATTTGGGTTGGATGGACAGCATTTATAAAAATCAACTTCGTAGTGCAAATGATTCACTAATGCATCTTAACTAAGGACATGGAAAACACTTTAAATCATGAATACACTTTGATTTAAACCATTCAAGTGAAGTTCTAGCTGTATGTTTAGGATCATTATCCTGAGATTTATAATGGTATTTTTAAAGGTATGAATATTTGTGCATGTAACTATAGCTTTGCTGGGACTGTAGCTGGATATGGGAAAACCAAATTCAAAATCTGGTTATGCAAATGCATTTTTGTTGCTGTGTTTTATGTGTCCTCGTCACTGATTAGAGAAAACTGCAAATGGGCTCATAGCTGCCTTTAAACAATGGCTTTTCTTTAGTTCCAATTTGACATCCTTCTATAAAACTGATTTTCCAATTTGAGCTGTGGATTTTTGGAATGCCTCCAGAGTTTGAATTTAAGTTGCAATGATGGCCGTATTTAGGTGGTTTTGCAGTTGGTCCATAGTTGGTATGTTTAGTTGATGGATAAGACAGCTATGTGGGATATTTACAGGTTAGGATGTTGGTCCTCATAATGTTGTTTCTTTGCTGTTGTCTAACAAAAACACTTTATTTAAATCAAGCAAAAATATATAATTGAGATCCAATTTTATTTACTATTTCATAAAATTTGAATGGCATTAGCTGTAGTGGATTTTATTTGGAGTATAAGAATGAAGGAGCTGCATGCTACTACTGTATTTCTATATCTATATATGGATAAAAAAAAAAAAGAAAAAACTTTAATAACAATGCTTTTTAACCCTTTTGCTACCCTTTACTTATTGTTCATCCAGTTATACCTGAAAATAGATCAAACAAATTAAAGTTTGTTTTTGAAACCCTTGAATTTAAAAATATGTATATGTCACTATACCGATGCGATCTGTATTTAATTTTGGTCATTCTCCAACAATCTGGTGAAGTATCACACATTTCTCTTTGATTTCTATGTGCTGCATAAGGAATAATATTTTCAAATGGGGAAACATGGAAAGAGTTGCGTCGTTTTGCTCTCACCACCCTCAGAGACTTTGGGATGGGCAAGAGAGTTGCTGAAGAGAAAATCTTAGAGGAGTGTGGACATCTCATTCAAATGTTTGAGAATTATAAAGGTATGAAAAATTCCTTATTTTCTCTTATATATAGATACAAGAAAGTGATTGATTAATTGATTGAGTAGGAGATAAAACATTGATTCTGTTTCTCCACAGGGAAACCATTTAACACATCACGCCCAATAAATTATGCCACATCCAACATCATCTCCTCCATCGTCTACGGAAGCAGATTTGAATATGATGACCCTCAATTCAGAAACCTAGTTGGTCGAGCAAATGAATCTATAAGCATATCAGGCTCTTCACAAATCCAGGTAAGCTTAATGTTTCACTGGATCTGCTTTGTAAATACCTGTAGCCAAAGGGGGGGCTTTAGCAGACCAGACCATGATGATGAACACACAGGACGGAATCTGAATTTTATGAATTAAACAATTTTAATAAGTTCTAAGATCACAACCAAAACTGTTGTTGACCTAATGGAACAGAGTAAGAGTAAAAGGATAAAGATACATGGTTTTCAAAAGTTTAACATAAAAATGTTGCCTGCATCTGGATTTTGCACAGTTTATTTAGCTCTATCTTTCTATCTTTTCAATTCAGCCTATACCCATCCTTCTGTGTATTCCCGTAAGATCATACCAACACTACCATGTTTATTTGTGCAGTTTGTGGAGGTGCTATGTTACTCAGAGAAAAGTAATGAGACAACCAAAACAACCTTAAAATCACATGAATAATTTGATCTCAACGTTTAAACCTTTCCCGAATACTTGGGGATAATATTTTTAAAAGAAAGAAAATGCACATATACTCTTGTTAGTGAGGGGGTAAATCAATAAAAAAAATTCTTGGTAACTGTATCTCTGTCATCTCTTCTCACTTCCTTGGTCTTCTTAATGATGCTCTTTGTTCAATGATGTTCTCTAACAAACCTCTTACAGGTGAAAACTTTAATTTATATTAAGAAAATTCCTTAAAATACATATGAATATACTGTTCTGAAGGAAAAAGGATGAAGATGATTCTTTGTCAAAAGATAGGATGAGTATTAACTTATTAAAACTTTCTTGATTTTTAAGCTCTACAACATGTTTCCCCGGTTAGTCGGATGGGTAAAAAACCGTCAGGTGATTTTAAAAAATGCAGAAATGACGATCAGGGATGTGAAAGGTCTAATCACGAAACTGAAGGAGACGCTAAACCCTCAGACCTGCAGAGGGCTGGTGGACTGTTTCCTGAATCGGAAGGAGAAAGAAGAGGCAAGACAACGCTTTAATCCTTATCCTTAAAGAAGCAGCCAGCATCAAACTAGTTGGTCTTATGTGTGTTTTTACCTTCAGGACTCTTGTGGGAAAGACAGTCAGTTCACAGAGGAGAACCTGATATTTACAGTGACCAACCTGTTTTCTGCTGGAACTGACACCACAGCTGCAACACTGAGGTGGGGTTTGCTGCTCATGGCTAAGTATCCACAAATCCAGGGTAAGAAAGACTAAATTCTAATGTTCTCTCTTTTTTCTGTATCCAGAAATCACTGATTACACAGATAATTTAGCATTTTTCATCACATTTAAATGTTGCTATGTCAATCACACGAAGAACAGTTTAGAAGAGAAGAGTTTTAAGTTTTGGATTGTTAAAGTAAAAAAAAAAAATAAGTGGATCTAATAATGATTTTATATGATATATTGACACAAAGTGTCATGATTTCCATATAAGGAATAACTAAAGTCATCCATTCATTATTTTGGAATTACAGCTTGTTTGCAAGTTATGATGATTATATTTTCCATTTGAAAAAAGGCTAAAAATATTTTCCGTTCACTTCATTTATGCACTAATTTGTATTTTTCTATCACATGCAAAATTAAAAACTACGGGTGGGGTAGCTGTTTCACACAATTCTAGATTTTAACAAATAGAATCGATTTAGTTTGATGGTGCTTATATATATTTATATATTGATCATGAACTTCTTAATCCTTATAAAGAGATATCTCTTTATAAGAATATGCTTGTCAGGTTGTGTGGAGGCTTTTAGAGGACCAAAATTCAGAGACGAAAGCTGAGGAGGATTTTTGAAGATTTAATGCAAGTTCAAAAGCAACAAAAGCAAAGTCCAAAAACAAAATACAGAAAACCAAAAAATCCAGGAAACATCAAGGAAAACACACATGGGGAGCAAAGAAACAATGAGGAGCCACTGCTGAGGAACTGCACAGAGAGAGTATAAATGGGAGACAGAAGAGAGACTGAGCTAATGAGCTGACAAGGGAACATGTGTGGATGGAAGAATCTAGAATAGAGCTAAGGGGGAAAGGAAAGGGGCACCAGGGGGTAACAAAGAGCAACCAGGGAAACAGGGCTTTACTCTAACTAAAAAGGAACTTGAATAAGGTTAAAGGGGAATAAAACTGACTAAAAAAATAAGGATTAACAAAGGGAAAACTAGAGGATAAAGGAAGGTATAACTAAAACTAGACCAAGGAATAAATGAAAGCAAAAAACTACATAAACTTGACCAAACAGAATAACAAAATAAAGCACAACTAAAGAACCCAAACTGAAAACTTACAGAACCAAAAAGTGCAGAGTTGCAGATCATGACAATGCTGTTTCAATAGCTTTAAATCAAATCTCCATCTACTCTGACAGAAGCAGCTAATAATTACTAAACCCCTGCATGTGTGCATTTTCTGAGTTACCGTCTTAATTTACACATGGAAAACTTAAACAATGCAATTTTCTTTCTGCAGACCAGGTCCAGGAGGAGCTGGCCAGGGTGGTTGGAAGCCGTGAAGTTCGAGTGGAAGATCGTAAAAACCTGCCCTACACTGATGCTGTCATCCATGAGATCCAGAGGCTGGCTAACATCGTCCCCATGGCCATCCCACATAAAACTAATAGAGATGTCATCTTCCAGGGATACTTTATCAAGGAGGTATGTGTGAAATATTTATTTTTTTTCTATGTTTTTGCACCAGTGGCACTTACAGTGTAGCAAGGCAGCAAATGGGGTGAAGAGAAAGATGAATGACATGCAGAAAAAGTCTTAGGGTGGTGATCTGAGGACTATGCCTCCATATAAGGGCTGTACGCTCTACCCCTGCTCCACTGTCACCTGGATGTGGAATATTTTGAAGCTTCCAATAAACAATATGTTTCCAAACAATGATGATCATGTTTTTTTTCCTGCAGGGAACTACTGTGTTTCCCCTTCTTACATCTGTTCTGTATGATGAGAGCGAATGGGAGAGCCCTCACACCTTCAACCCTTCTCATTTCTTGGATACAGAGGGAAAATTCATAAAGAGAGATGCCTTCCTACCGTTTTCTGCAGGTGGGACAGCCTCCAGTAGTTTTTTTTATTGTATTGATAAGATCATCTTTTCCAGATATTAATACGTCTATAATGTTTTCCAACTCTAGGTCGCAGGGTGTGTCTTGGGGAAAGTCTGGCTAAGATGGAGCTTTTCCTGTTCTTCACCTCCCTGCTTCAGCACTTTCGCTTCACGCCTCCACCTGGAGTTACTGAGGATGAACTGGATCTAACTCCAGCAGTGGGTTTCACCATCCCTCCTTCTCCTCATGAGCTTTGTGCCATCAGCCGGCAGTGAAGAATGAATTATGTGATAGTTCCTGTCTATATTAGTGACCTTATGTGCTTTAACACATTTAAACTTTAGCTTTGTCTGTTATTGTTGAAACTGTTTTACAAAGATTAAAATGTTAGGTTGTTTGGGAGGATCCATAAATTTCATTGTAATAGTTTCCTAAAAAGTAATTAAAATCACTCTAAGCTTTGTGCAAAACATTTTTTTTTAAAGATGCTTGCTGTCATTGCTGTGACTCTTTAACTTTAATTCCTCTCACAAAGTAAACAAAAAGTCTTTCCAAAATCAGCTTTAGAGAGCATTAATAAATAAACAATGCTAGCATCCATCCAAGGGATTTAGCTGAGATCAATAAACTGCTCCCAGTCTTACCTCTTTCTTGAAGCTAGCTTTTGATTGGAGCACCTATCATGAGATAAAGCCCCAAATAACGTGCTCCTTGTTAACAGAGCAGGATCACCTGACAAGAAATACATCTCTGACCATAGAGGTTGTTTTGATCTTGCTTTTAAAAAAGGAAAAATAAAAGGTTCTGGAAAAAGGTGTCTGTTGTGCAAATACCCCTTTTATATTGATCTAAATAAGACACAAATTAACAGTCTTAGAGTGGTTTCAAGTGGTCACTTGAAATGCTTTATGACAAAAAAAAAACTTTATTGTCATTTTGTATGCACAGTGTATACAAAACAAAATTTCGATGCATACAGCTTCTCAAGAGTGAAGGAGCAGCTTACAACAGTGAAATAAACATTTCCATTTATAAAGTGCAGCTTTGATAAAGAATGTAGACGGTGTAGGAGAAAAGAAAAACCAGTTTAAAGTCATCGTGTAAAAGGCACTGATATGGAAAATGTGGTGCATAAACAGAAACATTATGTTCTATTTAAAGGGATTATTAAAAAATCAGCCATGTTGACAGATTAACTGATATAAAATTGCTTCTCTTCTTTTTTTCATTTATTCTCAATCCTTGAATTTTTAGATTTGGGTTTATAAGGTGATTGAATGTTGCATGGGTTAGATCATAGACTGGAGGTAAAATAAAGGAGAAATCAGAACGTCCTTGTTTGTTTAGGTTTTTGCTGTAGCCATCTCTTTAGCTGATAAAGAAAGCACATAATCTGACTGAGACGTGGAAAGCTGTTCATCCGGTTTTCTTTGTACAAACGCACAGATTATAAGAATTACATTTCTTTACTTGAGAGGGTGTCAAAAAGTGGGAGAGGCTGCTTAATCCTTAATCCTGACTGACATTTTTACGCCCATACCATGTTCCTCCTGCAGCAAACTGATCCACAGTTGTGCAAAAAAAAAAAAAAAAAAGGTGACATAAAGTTTGTTTGTAACAGTAGGATAAAGTCCTCAAATCTAACACGCAATCTTATTCCTCTCAGACTCTGAAATAACTAACCAGTATTCTGAACTGCTCAAATACCAGTCAGTATTTTTAATTTAAAGATACAAAAATCAAAATAAGAAACATGATGCTGCCACGGACCATGTCTTTACTTTGGCAGCATGGTCTTTTGGTGCTGTGTTTGTACAAGACATACCTTTAGTTTGTGGTCTAATCACAAAACCATAACAATATCTCAACTTTTGCAAAAGACTGAAGCTTTTACCACATTTCAACCTGGTTGGGATGTTTTCTTGGGAGGGGTAGGGCAGAACCCCTCTCCAATATTCCAGGACATACTACAGACCTTTATCAAGGAGAACAACACCATTACTGTGCAGCAATTCGTACCAAACCTGCAGTGCAGCCTCATTCTGATGTTTCTGTGCAAATGTTTCATTGTTGCCTCTCTCCAAGCAATTGCGTTAGCTGAAGGAGGTATGTGATAAATCCCCAGGATTACAACTCAGGTCAATTAGCTGCACTATTAACAATGTTAAGTGCATGCAAAAAAACAAAAGAAACATTTAATGTTAAAATTTAATTAAAAGGTGCATAAAATACAGACATTTTTTGCCTGAAGAAAAATATTTGGTCAATTACTGTAAAAATATTTTTTTCCTTTGCATAAGTTAATCGTTTTCTTATATATGTCTAATAGGCATATTAACAATATGTACTTTTTTCCCCCAAAATATTTTTGTTTTAGTTATTCAGGTGCAGGTCAAAGGTTTTTACACTTAAGGGGAAAAAAACAGGAAATTCTAGATGTGGCAGGCTGGCAATTATGTCGTCATTACGCTTAGGACTTTGGTTGTCAGCGGTGGAGCTGAGACTGCTGTTAGCAAATTTGAGTCCCAGTAGAACAGGGGGAAGTCATAATGGATTATAGGATCATGTTTGAAGATATTTTTCCAAAATCGACTTTAACGTTATTGTTTGGGTTCATCGTCACCCTATTGGTCCTTGGTTTTCTTTACCCCAGCTTCAGTTTAAGACAAAGGAAGGAGCCCCCAGGACCCAGACCTCTTCCTCTGTTTGGAAACCTGTTTCAGTTGGATCTAAAGAGGCTGGATCAGAGTCTTTTAAATGTGAGTATTTCTTCATGTTAAATCCCAGTCAACAGTTCCTCTCTAAATGCACTGTTTCGTTGCATTTGTTTAGCTGTCCAAGAAATATGGATCAGTTTTTCAAGTCTTCTTAGGGCCAAAGAAAGTGGTGGTCTTGGCAGGGTACAGAACCGTCAAACAGGCGCTGGCCAATTATGCTGATGAATTTGGAAATAGAGAAATCACTCCCGTGTTTAATGATTTTACAGAGGGACATGGTAAGAAAACAACGTTCACACATTTCTTACATTAAAATGTTCTTTTTCTTGTCATTAAAATGGATTCACCTGCTGTTGTTCCAGGTATCCTTTTTTCTAATGGAGAACCGTGGAAAGAAATGAGACGTTTTGCTCTGACAACACTGAAGGATTTTGGAATGGGGAGAAAGATGAGCGAAGAGAAAATTATTGAGGAATGTGGTTACCTTATTGATGAATTTGAACAGTTTGAAGGTAAATCTTCTAAAGCTGTTAGCAGATGTTTTAACATTATTCTGATTTTTTGTGGCGTTACAGTGAGCCATAAACTGTATATTTCCACCCAAGAGGTAAAGCCAAGCTACTGCTCACCCTTATGAAGTTAATGTATTTGCATGATGCGAAAAGAGTTGTTTCATATTTGAATTAAATTCTGATATTTTTTCCCATTCTAAATATTTACATGTAACTGGAATCAGTTTGCAGTGAGAGGTAGTATCGTTTAGCCCATGTGGGCTTTTGTCCAGGGTGGTTTTAAAAAGGAAGGCTCACATGCAATAAATCTATCTGGAATGATGCTATGACATTTAGGCACATTTAAAATATATATATATAATAATAAAAATAAGGGCTGTACGGTGCGACTTTTTACTCTCATTACAGTACAGCTTTCACCTTTTTCATTCACATTTTGCCTCTGAAATAACACAGGCTTGTCTGAAGAGTAAGATAGCCATTCGCTTTTTATTAAAAAAATTAAAAAGGACAAGATTTCCAAAAAGTCAGTGCATTTGTATGGGGAAAATATTTGGTAAAGGGTATTTATGCTATGAGATTATATAAATAAGACACATTTTAATTCAGTTTTCAGTCTTTTTTTCAATATTTTTGCAATATTCTATTTAATTAAAATGTCTTACTTTTCTTCAATAGCTTTCAGGTTATGCGCCCAACATACAAATCTGTTTTGTTTTGTTTTTCTTCAATAGATTTCAAGTCCTGGACTCACTGAGTCAAAATCTGTCTGAATTTTTCTACTAATTATTTCTACTATAGATAAGACACAACAATTTTTTTACATTTAATTTTAAGTCTTTTCATATTTTTGGGGATTTTTTCATAAATCATAAAAAGCTTGAGGACACAAAAAAGCTTAAAGCAGCAAAAAAAAAAAAAAAAACTGTTATTTAAGCTTTAAGAAATAAAAACACCATCTGTCACATCTAGTAGTGGGTTGACAAAGCGTGCTCATGGTAGCACTATAGCAGCTGTAGCGGCACCCAACATTTTTTCCATTTAAATAATATGTCAAGCTGGAGCAGCTTCGGTGAAAAAATTGTTCTTTTTACAATAATTGCAAATAACCTTGCTGTGGTTGAACATTTGCCATTTTTTCTCTGGTGTTGGCGGTTGGCAAATGGCAAATAGCTCTAGGTGCATCACTGCCACCAACTGCCTGGGTCATTCAGGGGCCCAAAATTTAAAATGCTTGTGAATTGAATTGGCACTCTGAATTAATGGCAATTATTTTATATAAAGCGTTAATTTGCAGTGTAATGAAATAATCTAATAAACGGTTGAACTGACTGTGATAGTATAATTGTATTTTTAAGAATGGGTAAAATTTCATCTCAACATGCACCACATAGCGACAGACATGCACATTAGGCTTCACTGTGTTGCCATAGCAATGACTGATTTCCATTTCCAGTGAAGGAAAGAGGGCGTCCCATTTTGATTCATTCCCCACACCTTCAATCATGAAACCCTCCACACAGCTGGAAGAACCACTGTATCTGCGTCTGGGGAAAATTACAGCACTAAGCCAGTAGAGATGCCAACAGCTAGTGTCAGCACTAATGTTGGCCACACTGCTAACAAGGTTTACAAGTTAAAATCAGGTTGGCTTGAGTTTGAGGACACCCTTATGTTCTGTACATATTACATAGCACATATAAAGGGGAGAAGCAGGCAGGTAATTTGGCGTTTGTGACTGGAAACATTTGAAGCCTCATGAGACATGAAATTTATGAATTATATCATGATTTTTTTATCTGGGTTGATAAAAAAAAATAAAAAATAAAAAAACAAGCAAATAGACTTGGTATTATTATTATTATTTTTTTTTTTACAAGCTTTATATGTACCGGTAGTTCAATTTAGAAAATAACATTTTAATAACCAAATGACAGCTTTAACAGTTTTGTTTCTTCACAGGTAAAGCCTTCTACAATGCCAAGGCAATAAATTACGCAGCGTCAAATGTTATATCGGCTTTAATGTTTGGAAAACGATTTGAATATAAAGACGTGGTCTTCCAAGCAATGGTCGAAAGAGACAATGAGACAATTCATCTTACAGGAACAGCTTCCCTCCTGGTTTGTCTGATTGTTCTCCATATTTTTTGTCCTTTTATTTATTTGGCTCTCATCTTCTTTAACATTATTTCAAAATGCGAACATATCATTATACACAATTGCAGAGAAAGTAACGAGTGAAACCAAGACAACGGCACCTAACCAAGGATTTTTAATGCTTAGATTTCTAAACAAATGATTTGAAATTAAAAGAATTTCTGAGAAAGTAAAAATAAACTTTTTTGGTAAAAGAGTTTTTTTTTTTTTTTATTGAGCCAGGTGGGTTTGGTTGGGTTTAATTGAACTTATTGTCTGAAAACAGCAGTTTGAATTTCCTCAAGTTGTCTTTGGCAGGTGTTAAATTTCAGTGTAATAAAAGATGGAAAAATAGAAGAAATCTGTAAGCGGTTTAAAACCCGTCATGTTGTTTTTCTGCCTTGGTCAGCAATGCGAAAGTACTTGGAAAAACACTTTTAATGAAAACATTTCTCATAAACATTTCTAATAATGTCTTATGAGCGGAGTGTGCTGCAAACTGAAGGTGTTAGACGGGAGGAAAATAATCATTTTAAAGAAGGTTCAGAGGACTCAAGGAAAATAGATGACCTATTTAGCTTTGAACAAGAAAAAGAAAAAGCTGCTCAGAAAAAAACAAAAAGAATGTCAAAAACATAAAATTACCAAAGTGAGAAATAAATTAACTTGATAAAAACTGTCAATTTGTTTCACCAAATAAAATATCTATCAATTTAAACTCTGACCAGATTGTATCATAGTTTTTTTTATTTAAGTTTGACTTAACTTGTGTTCCTAATGAACCTTTCCAGATATACAACCTTTGTCCCTGGCTTGGTCCCTTCCTGAAAAACTGGAGGGATTTGATCAAGAATGTAGAGGAAGGTAAGACGGACTTGAGAACGATAATAAAGAACCTGAAAGAGACCCTGGACCCTGAGGTTTGCGGATGCTTTGTTGATGCTTTTCTGATCCGTAAGAAGCATCTGGAGGCAAGTGGATAAACTAGAGTGAAACCATTTCCATGCTTTAACTGTTAATCAAACAGTGATATTCACTTTTTATTCTACAGGATTCTGAAGTCTTGAATCTCCACTACCATGATGATAACCTCCTCTATAGTGTAACGAATCTGTTTGCAGCTGGGACTGACACCACTGCAACCACTCTGAAGTGGTGTATCCTTTACATGGCTAAGTTCCCTCATATCCAAGGTACAGAGACTCAACTTCAAGCTCATTTTATAGATTTCATACTAAAGCTTTTGGTAATGCATCCATTACCACTTAACCTATTTTTAATGTTTTATCTAGAACGGGTTCAAGAGGAGCTGAGCAGGGTGATTGGAAGTCGACAGGTACAAACAGAGGACAGGAAGAACTTACCGTACACAGACGCTGTTATCCACGAGTCGCAGAGGTTTGCCAACATTGTTCCAATGGCCCTTCCTCATACAATAAGCACTGATATTATCTTCCAGGGCTATTTTATTAAAGAGGTCAGTTGCCTTGTTTTTTATTCCAATACATATTTTCTTTTTTGTATTATTTCTTTTTATATCTTATGTTATAGATTTAAAGTGTTATATATTTATTTTTTGAATTACAGGGAACAACTGTGTTTCCTCTTCTTACTTCTGTCCTCTATGATGAGGCTGAGTGGGAGAATCCCCACAGCTTCAACCCTTCTCATTTCCTGGACAGTGCTGGGATGTTCATTAGGAGAGATGCCTTCATGCCCTTTTCTTCTGGTACGACTCTTGATCCTTCTAGAGTTTTGGTGCTTTATTCCGTTATTTCATAATTTACGACAACTTCTTGCAGGTCGCAGGGCATGCCTTGGAGAGAGTTTGGCCCGAATGGAACTCTTCCTCTTTTTCACCTCCCTTCTTCAGCATTTTAGTTTCACTCCTCCTCCCGGAGTCTCAGAGGATCAGTTGGATTTAACACCAGTTGTTGGGATCACTCTTGCTCCTAAACCTCAACAGCTGTGCGCTATCCGTCGTCACTGAGAAGAAGAGTTGAGATTGCTAATATTTTCTTCTATTTTAGAGCTAAAGGGCAGAATTATTGTAGAACATAAGAAAATTCAGCTTCTGATTTTTTTCAAATGTTAATCATTAAGCCTTTGAATCAGTTACTTCTCAGATTTCTCTATTCTAAGTAATTTTACAGACTTTTTTATATACACTCACATGTGTAGTAAACAAGGTTTTAGATATTGAGAACAATAACGCTAATCCACATGTAAAAAGGTGTCAAAAGAACTTTAACTTCAAGGCTTTCAATTGTCTGTCTTCTGAAGGTTTACCTCTTATATTCTGTTGTATCAATAGATTTAAAGTCTGGTTAGGTGATTGACTGGGCCATTCTATAGCAGCTTTTATTTCTATATCCAAAGTTGGGGACTATCACAGGTGGTCATCATCATTTTATTCTCAGATTTTTACTATGAATGATGCAAATTTACCCATCCATCCTTACTGAAAGATCCATACCTCATTATATGGCCACTTCCAAACTTGATTGCTGATATTTGTTTTCTGTTAATGTACTATTACTTTCAAAGTTCTCTGATCTTTTCTGACAACTCTGTGTCCTCATTGCATCTTTTTGTCAAATGTGCTATAGCAAATCTTTTCTCCATCAATGAAGTCTTGTGCATTTACTGTGTATAGACAGAGTGGTTTTATATATGCATACATACATATATATATTAGGGATGCATGATATAATCGGCCCCCTATCGGTATCGGCCTGTATCGGCCTTAAAACTGAATATCGGACATTGGCCACCCCACCGATATTTAACCCGATATTTGAGTTTCTACAGTCTAAAAAAAAAAAAAAATACTACTTCTTCTTCTTCCTCAAAAACTTCTTTTTTACAGACTTAAAAACTTCTAAAGACGAGGGAAAAAA